TCCTCTTTCTCTTCCTTTCCTTCTTTTATTTTCCTTTCCCTTCCCTTTCTTGTCTTCTTTTATTGCCGCTCCTCTCCTTCTTCAACCTTCCTTCCATTTCTTCTTCTTTTATCTTCCTTTCCCTTCCCTTTCGTGTCTTCTTTTATTGCCGCTCCTCTCCTTCTATTGTCCTTCCTTTCCTTCTTTTATCTTTTTTCCCCTTCCCCTTCCTCTTTAATCTTTCCTTTCTCAGGAATGAACCACGAAATAAAGCACAACTTCATCTACTGAATGTCCATACGTGTGTTGGGGTGTGTTTTTTGCTCCTACCAATGTTTATACAGTGTTCTTTCTGAGATTTCAAGCCATGGTGTTTTGGGTCCTGGCCCTTTGAATGCCCTTGCACGTGATCAGTGTAAGCTCCCCTGTGTTAAAGTGAATGCTTTTGTAAGGTGTGCAGAGCTGCACTTCCAGCGCCTTCCTGGCTGCTTCTCACGTGACGAACTGCTCAGATGGAATTCCAGTTTTTGCAGATTGACAGATCCATCAGGGCAACTAAGTCCTCCAGGGGCAAGAAGGCAGGGGTGGGCTTCAAAAATATCAACAAATGGTTCTCTGCCTGGTTGCTGGGTGGGCGTGGCCATGGCAATGGTGGGCGTGGCCTAGCTGGCCTCCTGCACCATGGTGGGAGGCCCATTTTTTGCCCTCGCCAGGCTCCAGAGGCTTTCCTTGAGCCTCTGGGAGGGCAAAAATGGCCTCCCCCAGCCTCCGGAGGCTACCTGGAGGCTTGAAATAGGCCCATTTCTGGCCTTTTGGAACTTCTGGGAGGCCCATTTTTCACCCTCCCCAGGCTCCGGAGGTTTTCCTCGAGCTTCTGTGAGGGCTAAAATGGCCTCCCCAGGCCCTGGAGGCCATCTGGAGGCTTTCCTCAAACTTCTGTGAGGGCTAAAATGGCCTCTCCTGGGCTCCGGAGGCATCCTGGAGGCTGGAAATAGGCCCAATATCTGGCCTTTTGGAACTTCTGGGAACTGTTGTAAGGATTTGTTTCAGGATATGTTCCAGGATGGAAATATCTCTCATTTTGGACTCAGTTGATGTATGGGAAAGACAATAATTTCCTCTGGATTGTATGCCTACTGTCCTCCATCCATCCATTGGTTTTAGTTCAGTCCTCTGCATTTCATCCTATCTTGCTAGGCACCCTGGAAATACATGCCATCGAAATGGCAACCACATATGCTTGGTCTACATTTCTTTTGCTATCCTTTCACATGAAGAAGTATCAGTGTTAGGAAGTCCAGTACATTCAAAGAACAATGAAGCCTAATAATGATGATGGACGATGGATGGATGATAAGGTTGATAATGAGTGTTGTGGTCCACTGGCAGCCTGCGGAGATGGCAGCAGAGTTGGACAGTGGGGAGGAACATAGACCAGTCTGGGAGTCTGTGGAGGACTCGGACAAGTGTCCTGCGTCCGATGCAGAGATGGAGCCAGTGCCATCTGGGAGTGGGGTGCTTCTTCCGGAGTCTGGCAGCAGCGAGGCAGAGGAACAAGGGGACCCTGTTCCCAGTGCGTATGGGCGCAGACTGCTAGAAGGGAAGAACAGTTAAGACAAAAGGGGCGACACAGGAGTAGGGCTTGGAGGTGGTTGCCCCTCCCATAAGATATAAAGGAAGTGCAAAGAGACAGGAGCCTTTGCAGGAAGCAACTTTGTTTGCTCTGTTCAGATTAAACCTTGAAACTCTGTGTGGACTTTGGCTTTCTACAGTTAATTTGGCACTCTAGTTTTTGGCAGCAATTCAAAGAAGATAAAGGTGGGTGCTTATCTTGAGAAATTGTTTGGGACTCATTACGGGCTGAGAATGAACAGAATTCTCAGCCGTTGAAATAAAAAGAGGGTTGTTTGGACTAAGCATGTGATTAATTACGGTCTCAGTAAGCCTTGGTCAGAACGATGATGATGATGATGATGATGACGATGACGACATCCATTCTGTCATATCCAACTCTTGGGAACTCTGTGGGCCAGGTCTTTCTACATCTTCCAGTCTTGCACTGCTTCTTTGAGTTGTGCTATGCTCTGGCTGGGGTCAGCTTTGATAGTGTTCAGCCGCCATATTCTTTGGCAACCTAGTTCCCTTTTACTGTTAACTCTTCCAAACATAATTGGTTTTTTTTTCAGTGAATGAAGAATGAAACAGTTTAATTTTTTTTTTTCTGAGGCAGTGTATCTGCCTTGAAAAAAATGCCAAACTAAGTGGGAATGAAAATTCTTTGGTGGGAGAAGACATCCCCAAGTGGTTTCTAGGCTTAGCATGTTTAAGTGTGGTTGGTTATCACTTAAAATATCTCAAAGGTGCTTTTTCAAAAAGGCAACTGGACTTTGTTTCTTCCTGAAGATGTTTTCTTTTCCTTGAAGATGTTTCTCTTCTCATCCAAGAAGCTTCTTCAGTTCAGTTGGATGAGAAGCGAAACGTCTTCAAGGAAAAATGAAGTCCAGTTGCCTTTGTGAAAAAGCAACTTTGGGGCAACCAGGACCTGGATGAGTGAGAATTTCCATAGCAATTAACCCAAAGGGTTTTTTTTTTCCCAAGAGGCAACTGGACTTTTTCCTTGAAGATGTTTCACTTCTCATCCAAGAAGCTTCTTCAGAACGGAAGTAGCTTCTTGGATGAGAAGCAAAACATCTTCAAGGAAGGCAAAACCTTTTCAAGGAAAACGAAGTCCAGGTGCCTTTTGAAAAAGCATGACCTTGGATGACTGAGACATAGCAGTTAACAGTTCTCTGATTGTTTTTGAAATCTGATGAAGCACTAGTATGAAGTCCTAGTGGCAACCATTTAAATAGGAGCCAGCCATGTGCAACAGCTGCCAAAAAAGCCAACACAATCCTAGGCTGCATAAACAGAGGGATAGAATCAAGATCACTTGAAGTGTTAATACCACCTTATAAGGCCTTGGTAAGGCCACACTGGGAATCCTGCATTCAGTCTTCATCGCCACAATGTAAAAACAATGTTGAGACTCTAGAAAGAGTGCAGAGAAGAGCAACCAAGAGGATTAGGGGACTGGAGGCTAAAACATACGATGAACGGTTGGTGCAAGAATTGGGTATATTTAGTTCAATGAAAAGAAGGGCTAGGAGAGACATGAGACCAGTGCTCCAATATCTCAGGGGCTGCCACAAAGAAGAGGGAGTCAAGCTCTTCTCCAAAGCACCTGAGGGTAGGAGAAGGAGCAATGGGTGGAAACTCATCGAGGAGAGAAGTGACCTAGAACTAAGGAGGAATTTCCTGACAGTGAGAACAATTGATCAGTGGAACAACTTGTGTCCAGAAGTTGTGGCTGCTTCTACACTGGAAGTTTTTAAAAAGATGTTGGATAACCCTTTGTCTGAAATGGTGTAGGGTTTCCTGCCTAGGCAGGGGGTTGGACTAGAAGACCTCCAAGGTCCCTTCCAACTCTATTATTCTCTTCTCTTCTCTTCTCTTCTCTTCTCTTCTCTTCTCTTCTCTT